GCATTGTTTGGGGGACTCTAGAACTGACAGTACATTTTCAGGAGACCGGTGGCTGAACCACATAATATACGTAAGAAAAAACCCGTCCCAAAGTGTCATCCTCATGAAAAATATTCAAGTACAGACCACTGAAAACACAATAAAAACAAAAGCACAAGTTTTTAAATTTTGTGACAATTTGATTAAACCTAGAATTCAGATATCAATAATAATTGAGTCAAGGTTGTTTCTAATTGTGCATTACATTGTAACTATTTCTGCAACCACTAGATGTCACAAATATTCAGTTTTTAAAAGCCCTGCCTCTTGTAGATTGTAAGTGTTCTCACCACACACACAAAAGATAAAATAAATGGTAACTATGTGCAGTGAATGTGTTAATTAGCTTGATTGTGGTGATAATTTCATGATGTATATGTATACCAAACATCAAATAGTACATCAAATAGTACATACAATTTTTATTTGTCAATTATACTTCAATAAAGCTGGGGTGGGGGAAGCTCTACCTCTTGAGGCAGTGGCTTTGAAAGAATTCCTTTTGTACAGAAATAAGGTTTTCTAGCATTCACAACTACAATGAATATACTACTTTAAATTTTTTAATTACAAAGTTCTCCAAATATGTGTAAGAGTATATGTTACTATAAGCAATATCTTTTACCCCAACCCAGATTTAACACATATTAACTTTCACCATGTGTGTGATAGCTTTTAAAACACTAAAGCTTATAGCTGGTGTTCTCTTTGTGCTCCTCCATCTCATTCCTTTCTTTCCTGACCACAGATAACCCTTACCTACAAGTTAGTAGATGGACTTCCCTGGTGTTTTCATACAAATGTTTATTTATGTAAATGAAGATCAATTTTGGGGTGAGATTTGAACTTAAGTGGTATTACACCATATAGCGTCACTCTGCAACTTGCTTTTATTCATTCAGCATATTTTCAGGACTTACCCTGCTGATTCATGTATAGCCAATTCATTGATCTCAGCCTCTGCATAACGTATCATTGTACCCATTCTTCTGTTGGCAGCTGTTTAACTTTTGTATGTTTTATTTTTATACGTACATCTTGCATGCACCTCAGTGTGTAGATGTGTGCATTGAGGGAACCTGATTGTCTGCACACTGTCCCTGCCCCTCGGCGACACTGTCCTGTGAACCAAGGTCTGTCAGACGGCCTTCCAGGAGAAGGTCGAGGACCATGTCCCTGATGTCCTGACAGGTCCCACCGGTGGGAACAGTGGGGGAGCCTCCCTGGGCAGCGGTCCTGCAGCGTGAGCACATCAGGACCTGCTGGAGGGCTTCTTCAAATGCACCCAGCAGGGCAGAGCCTGGGCTGGGCGGAGACTTTGCCTTTCTCATGCGCTCCCAGGCGTCCTGCTGCTGCTCAGCAGCCACCTTGGTAAACACTGCGCTAGGGCAGCTGAGCCCACCTGTGCAGTCCTGGAGCCCGTGCTCAGGCCACCAGGCAGCCCCGCAGTGCTTCCCGGAGCGGCCCCGTGAGCCATGAGACGGTTCTGCCAGCGGGATACGGGGTCCTGCTGTGCTGTTTCCTTTCTGATGCTCAGTGATGTCACACTTCAGTTTCTTTGCCTGTGACAGGAGTGTAATGTGGTAGATTCCTTGTGGTTTAATTTGCATTTCCCCTGATTATTAGTGAAGTTACAAATCTTTTCATGTTTATTGGACAATGGGTTTGCTCTTCTGGGAATTGCATGTTCATATTATTTGCTTCTGTTCATTATTGATTTGTTTGACTTCTTATTGACTTTCTTCGTTGGCTCCATGTGTTGGGAAACCGCTCCAGGTGGTAGGTTGCCTTTTAGCTTGGTTTATGCTCTCCTGTTTGGCAAAGAATGCTAGCTTTTATTTTATTATTATTTTTGTTAATCTTTACCCGAGGATATTTTTTCCATTATTTTTAGAGAGAGTGGAAGGGAGGGGGGAAAGTGGGGGGGTGGGGGGAGAGAGAGAGAGAGAGGGAGAGAGACAGAAGAGAGAGACACATTGATTGGTTGCCTCCCACAGGCGTCCCAGACCCAGGCCATGGACAAAACCTGCAACCCAGATATGTTCCCTTGCCTGAGAATCGAGCCCGTGCTCTCACCACCTAGAGCCACACTGGCCAGGGCTTAACTTTTATTTTAGTTAAATGTAACTTTTTTTAAGTTCATGTTTTGTGTTTTTTGTCTTTGAATATGTTAATGAAACATTATTAATTCTTACAACATATCCAACCTGGTTGTCTTAAAATTATTTTCATGTATTTTAATTTATATCTTTTCAAATTAATCTCCTTCAAATAAAGTTAGTAATCAAACTGAAAATTTAAAAATCAGGTAAAGCATACTTTTACCAGTTACACTGAATAATAAAAGCTATTCTAGTTCATAACTTATACATTGATGATATTGCTAAAATGATATTTTAAATGCCAAATATGAACCTATTGCAGTTTAAACACCTTGACCTTTCCACCACTGCTAATATTTTTGGCCTGTTAATTTGATGATTAAACACATTTTTTAAGGAGCCCAGAGAAAGGCTTTTGAATCAGAGGACTCTAAGTATAAGTTAGTGTGAGAGAAGTTATCAGGGTGAGGTGTGCGGTGAAACTAAGCTAATAGTAGTTGGCAGGTGCAATTTTAAGTCACAGAAATGCTCCCTCCTCTAAGATGTCTCCCACGTGGCCACACTAGCTGGAGTGGGACCAACTAGATCTTCATTTGCATCAACACTAGTTTGCGATGCAGTTACTTCTGACGCTATGGCCCATTCATTCTTTCAAAGGGAAGAGAGAACACTTACTGTGAGCCAGGCACGGTACGTGAGGTACTTTGCAGTTATGGCTTCCCCCCCATGAAAGGCAGATGTTATCCTAGTTTACAGAGCA